TCCTAAATATGACACAAGTTGGGAATACCCGTTCTGGTGCGCTCAACTTGCAGACTGTAAGACGGAGACAGCCCACTTCCCTCGGCTAGATTGGCAGTATGCGTGCAAAGTAAGCCTACAGTTAAGAGAACTTCCAACCCGTACACCACCGTACGAGCATGACAATATTGCGTTGACTATTGTGAATGACCTTGCTAACGAAAGGAATGTCTAATTGTTGGATATGTCAGCATATGCCCACTTTATCTAGAGCACCTATGCTGGTTCCTGTGCCATTCACGGAAGCCGACTGGGATGTCATGGGGTGGCTTGAGCTATCTCATCGATTTGTGAGTAATGATGAAGACTGTTACACTCCTCCACCACATACGGCGACAACAGCGCAAAGCACAGTTGCCTATGAGGGTGAAAAGGGGGAAGTTGTACGTTTTGCAGTTAAGCGGTTCAATCTGAAAATAGACCTATAGGTATTAATCAAGTGATGTTGTTTAGATTAACCTATTACAAATGATATGTCCAACAAGGGTTACGATATCAAGTGCAAATGGCTCTCGGGGAGACTAATTGCACACCGGACAGTGAAGTGTTAAAAAACCTGCATGTACTCTCATACCAGATACAGCATCTATTCAATTGGAGATGGGCATACAGGGCATCCCCTGGGATGCCCTGTATGCCCTGTAAGCTGCCCTGTAAGCTTTCGGTAAGAACCGGTTGTTTTTCATGGGTAATTTAACTAAGCAGTCACATAGAAAAGGCAGGTGTATTTTGTGCAATCATTATTAATTATCCAGCCCATGTTCACATATACCACAAGAATGAAGCTTCTAACAGTGTAAATGTGTGGATCGAAGAAGACACTAAACCGGACCTGGGGTCCGTTTCAAGTAGGAGGTTTAACAAACTCTGAGTCAAACCCTCAACTCTGAGTTTATTTACCCTGAGATGGGAAACTGAGTTTTGGTTTCAGAACAGCGTAAGATTGGCGCTCTTCAAAACCCGCCCTCTTTGCGCTTCCGCCTTCCGGTGTAACTGAGATGCCTTCCGTATGCCAGTGAGATTTCACTCACACACACAAGTGAGATTTCACTCACACACCAGTGAGATGCGCATGAGTGTTTCGAGTATTAGTACGCTTAAGAGTGTCTCAGTAGTTAAGTCCTAAACGGCCCCTCATACGACCAGGTGATGTTCACAGGCTCAGTTACCATGGTGACTGACCCTGAGCTTTAGTTACCTCCCTTTGTGAAACAGACAAGCCAGAGTTTCCTTCATCTCAGGGTTAACAAACTCTGAGTTTCCACTAAACCTGCTTCTTGAAACGGACCCCTGGATAATGTTCACATTTCTTCTGTGGAAATGTATGAAGATAACAACACACAATTTGACAGGACAATCTTTTATGTTTTGCATTTGGCAAGATTCATGTTGATATCAATAGATAGATAGATAGATACTTTATTGATCCCTCAAGAGGGAAATTTGGGTATCACAGCAGCATGTACAGGGAAGAAAATAGAATAAAAAGATACACATTATATACAATATAATAAGATAGAAATATTAAATTATTAAATTAAATTAAATAAACTAAAACTGAAACAAAACAATAACAATAGTTACTTCTCATGATTTGTACCATCCAATAATTCCCGTTGATAGTAGCATAGTTCCAGGGGCACTCCGGTCAACATAAGAATAAAGTGAAATTGAAAGCACTCAACTTTGCCATTTTGTTGATGTCACTAAGGGGATTCCTCAACTGTTATGCCCTGTAACCAGAACACCATCATGCCACTTCTCTTCTATATTCTGTCCATTGTTCCTACAAAATATTCTCAATATGGTCCAGTAAATACTGTCGTGGGTACCGACGCTTATTTTAGTTCTGTTCTTCACTTGACTGCAGGTCTGCAGATCAGCTGTTTACTGATCTTTTGACCCTGACAAAAGGACAGAAAGGTAAACTGCTCACACGCTTGCTTCACACGTTGTGCAGTCTTACTATGATGAGTATTTTCCAAATTGAATCAATACTTTTGACATGTGTTGCAGATCCAGGCTACTCATCATTGATATTGAAGTTTGTGTACGAACACAGAGATGAAAGAATCTCCTTGAAGAACCCACCTGGTGCCACTTTGACGATTGGAAACTTCAATTCAACCATCTACAATGGGAAGAAGAACATTCTCAATGGGTGGAACAAATTTTACCTTCCAGATATTGTAAGCATGCAGGTCTTGGGCGTAGTGACGGGGACTTCGTGCCCGGGGGACCATCTCGTTCTGATGACCTGTGAGGACGGACAGCTGTACGCCTACGATGGAGAGGAGCTGCATTTGGTGGCTGTAAGCGTGAAGCAGCTACGCAACAAGGGAATCGAGTATCCAGCAGACAAGTCGTACTACAAAGGAGAGGCCTTCCCAAACACGGTGAGAAGTTACAGTGATGTGCTACGAACAAATGAGTGATTCTGCACCCTGATGATTGGTCACCTGTGTGCACTGAGAATGTTTTCATATTTTAATATCGTCTTGTGTGTGTGTGTGTAACCCGACAAGGACTGGGAGAAAGTGAGGAAGGGCGCTGTTGGCAGACGATTGGACCAAGAGCATCGAAAACTGGTGACCGCAACCAAGTCAGAATTCCTGAAGAATCTCAGATCCATCCAAACAGGTAGTTTTGTCTGCTGCAAAGTAAAGATTAAGATTCTATTGATATCTCTCATCAATCCACTCGTACATCACACATGAACGATCTCTAGAGTTGTTGGAATCACAAACCTGTGGCCAGTTATCAGCCTATTAAGTCAACTCTACCTTGACTAAAAACAAATTGTAGCACTTAAATTACACATTTATAAATTGTACTTATAATGGCTCTTATCTACAGCAAGTTGTAAATCGGTTTATTTAATGAAATTGTCTCGTTTCTTGTTCTGTGCCTTATGGTTGAAATGCAGGAATCAGGATCAGGAATCCGGAAACATTTATTGTCAAAATATGTCAAACATACAAGGAATTTGTCTTGGCGGTTGGTGCGTGACAGACAGTGTAACAATAGACAACACTTATTGTAAGTCGCTTTGCTAAATGACGTGTGATGTAACTCAAGTCAGTCTTTGTCTCCTCGGCTCCGCCCCCTTTGGTCACCACTGCCTGTTTATCTGATCACTTGTTCCATCTTAAGTTATATATGTTCATGTCATAATTATTTGCTATTGAGCCGTCTAACATGTTTCTTTTTTCTCTTCTCTCCAGCAACATGCAAATGATCACTTGTGTGGAGTGGTGTCGAATATGTAAATGTGTAAATACACACGAATATCTGAGGATTCTGCAATATAACTGTTGTGTTATGATTAAAAAACCAAATGTACATTGTCTTGAATTACATTTTTTTTCGCAATTAAAATATTTTCTAAACCCGTGTGAGGATAAAATGCAAACCGACAAACGTATGATGAAGTTGAATTCTGTGACCAGCTTTATTACACAACAGAACTTCACCTTCAAACTCATTTAAATGCCGTTATTTGGTCGTCACATCGACATGAAATATAAAAACACGTTGCTCGAGGACGTCTACATTCTTATGTACCGGCATTACAACACGCCCCGCTAAAGCAGAACTCAAAGTTCAAACTAGATACTCTGACGGTGTACTCGTATTTCTACGTTTTTACGACACCAGCATTTAAAAAAATTGTTTTAGTCCTGCAACTTCTCCGCCACGGTTGAATGAACCCACCGACGCAGACGTCCTGCCGCTGGGGCAAGATCATCTTTTTGTTGTTCATGTTTTTTGGGGAGAAGTTCTTAAAGAAGAAGAGAGAATTGGCCAGTGTTGAGCAAACCAGTAACGACGGCATTCCAGTAGAACAAACACACTGAACTCCTCCCTGATCTCTACGTACTGGAAAGAAACTAAGGAGTGGTACCCGACTGCGGATGTGGAGCTTCACTTCTTGCTTTCTATTTCATTTACTGAGGACTCCGCCATGGTGAGAAGCTGCTCTGAAGGCCTTGTCCATGTCGATATTTAATATCCATATTATTGAACTGCACATTGATCATTTCCGCTGTTCTTGTTGAAATGTGTAACTGTTGTAATGTGCTTTGTGTTATTTCAGGCTTCTCAAGTACAAAGAGAAAGGTGCGTAAACTGATTCATGAGTCATCAGGTGAAACAAAACAGTTTCTGCTTAGTTGAAGTTAAAAAAACTTGGGTAAATTAAAAAAAAATAGTTTTGGAATCTAATTGGGTGATTTGAGATTATTGGAAAAACAGTTTTTAACCTAATTGAAAATGTTTAGTTTTCTTATAAAATAGACGTTGGTTTAAAAAAATGATATGTGTAGTTATCATTCAACTTTTTTTTATTGACAGTTTTTCAAGTACATCTTATTGCTGCATTCTGCTTTTTAATCTTCTAAACACTTTTAAAATATGTATCTTTTTTAGAGAAGAAGCCTTTCTGATAGATCAGGATCCATTCAGACGAAATGCTTATAAGCTCATCGTTAAAATGGCTCAGCTGATTTACGAAGCTGGTGGTGGTACCAAACATCTACTGGATGAGGTATGTTTGATGACTCTTTTTCAAATGCACTGCTTTAATCACATAAATATTACGTGTCAAGAATAAATAATGACACCTCTTTGAATGTGTTGTGACTCCACAGATGCTTCACAGCATCTTCTTTTTGGGGAAAGTCAACAAGCCGACGTTTTCTCCAGAAAGGATCCTGCTGGATGACGAAATGTTAAGGGAGTTGAAGGAGTTTTTCCCTCAGGCCTTTGAGCTCTTTTCCACCCACCTACCCAGACGGAGTCCATTTTCATGTGTGCTGGACATGGTAGGATCATAGTTTTTCAAAAAGATGATTAAATTCTTATTTTTAAAGATGCATAGAATATGTTAGAGGCTATAATGACTCTACATTGTTGCATTTCACAATTAAAGCATGACTCAGTAAATTGGTGATTGCTTGCAGATTGTCCTCCTGAAAGGACGAGAAGGAGAAATACTCAGTGGCCTACGAGAGCTCATCATTGGCCTGGAGCTCGGTGACTCAAGGGAGCTGATCTCCTCCACCCTCTGCGTCTCGCACAGAACCGACATCAGAAATCCAGTCAAGTACTACGGAGTCTCCATGGCCGCTCCCAGTGCTATTGCTCCCAAAAAAGGTCCCTTTCCTCGGCGATTCGTCATCGCGGCGTCCTGTCTCTACTACTGGGACGAGTATATAGCTGGTGCAGTGCTCACCTACTATCCAACCAAGCAAAAGAAACAAGATTATGATGGAACCATCCAGCTTCCACAGTGGGTGAGGTGCCAGGCGTTTAGCCTCAGCCAGGAAGAAGAAACTCCTCCGTGCCTCTCATGTAGCAATTTGTTTGGTTTGAGGACAAACTCTAATGATGAGTGGGTCTACGGCAACTGTGGCGAGGTTGAAAGTTTGAGCAACTTGTTCAAAACGGAGGGTGACGTCAAACAGCGAGCACGACCAACATCTCCCTTGTACTCAGATGAGAGGAGGGACCACTATAAAAGGGAAATGTGTAAAGATCTGATAAATTGCCTGAGACAAAAGGAATTTACCTGGAGGGAGGGAGATTTCTACATCCCCCCCTAAAAGGGAGAATGATAAATATCCTGTTGATGAGAAGGCCAACAATTCTTAGGATGATTACTTTTGATGGTTATTCCCCATAAAACAATGATGATCTCCCTGCATCGACAGTTACTGGGGAGCTGGTGGTTCAACGCTTGTTGTTAATGATCCAGGTACTTAATTATGATAAAGATATGAATGCAAAGCAGGCAGAAGATATAAAGAGTTGATGCATTGATCATTTAAGTCACAATAAATTTATAAAGATTGCTCATTTGTTTTGTTTTTATTTACTCATCAGAAGAAGTAATTCTTTGCCATTTAACGCAGCACGTAGCCGGTGGCAGCCGACTTCTGGGGGGTCAGTTTAGAGTCCACAAAGAGGATCATTAATATCACCAGGGAGTATTTTCAACAGAAGAAGAACATGTTCAGCTTTACGGATGCTGTGTTCACCACATACGTTACTTCACATTAAAAGAATAACAGCAAGTTTCCGTTTTTCTGTTCATTAGCCATTTAAAATACGGTTAATTTAGAACAGGAAAAAAAAAAAACTCACCCTGAATTAAAATAAGGGCTGCATTTTTTCAGAAGCACAAATTCCTCACTTTCAGTAGATATTAGTACTTTACCTTATTTGTTGAGGGTAAATCACAAAAAAATAAAGTAAATTACTGTAAAGTTCATCTTTAGCCTGCACATATAATAGAATGAAAAATTATGTTAATTAAGTAACTATAAATATTATTTCCTACATCATTCAGAAGGATGATTAGCATAAACCACTAAAAGCTCACTTCCTGTTTGGCTGAGTGGTGTTGATTCCAGGCCACAGACCTCATATAATATATCATAAAGTTAATCCGAAGGCTACAAATACAGGAAACAGTTCAAGGAACAACACAATTTGTAAATAGGATCATTGGAGTCACTGGTGAGCTTGATGGTGAATCTCTATAAAAAGCCAAAGAACATTCTGTATCTATTCTGCTTTTAAAATCAGAGACACGCTTTCAGTATTTGATACAAATACAAACATATCAAACTGTTGGTACGCCTCCTTCACAATGAGCGTAAGCTAGTGACGAGTCTTAACGAGGGATCTCATCACGTGCTTCGTTGTCTTAGAGGCACAGACGCACCACCAGATGGCAGCCCAACCTTTCTCCTGATGAAACAAGTAATCACCTCACAGGGAGCTTCTTCTACCACCTTCACCTCCGGCAAAGCACAACAACAGAGACAAGACGCTCAGAGGAGAGACAGGAATCAGAGAGCAGCAGGAAGAGCAAATAACTCACAGCCATCCGTCATCAGGTCTCCACTTCTATCAGTGTGAGGCTGATACGCCGTCTGGCTTCTGAGGAAGTCAAAGGCCGCAGATTCAAACAAAACAAAGAACTTTTGACCTTTGTTTTCACAAACATTTGACTAACTATGGTCAAATGATGAAACTCAATGTGGACTAATGAAATACCCCAAATATCTTCTGTCGATATCGCCGAACTGCGTCGTCATTGTCAGTCTGTACTTGTGTTTTGATTCTTTCCCTTTCTGCATAAGAAGTGCTGACGTCACAGACACGTTGTCTGGCATCTCTCCAGTAACGTGTGCGCTTCCAGCTGCATATTTGTGTAGCCACGCTGCCCCTCTCAATAGCGAATGCTTGTCCTTATTCCCGGGCTAACAGCGTAGGACAAAGTCCAGTCTTCAAGCCAGGTACCCAGTTATTCTTATTTCGAGAAAATGTAATAAATGTTTAGTCTTTGATCTGTTAAAACCACTTGTCAACATTGTAGAACAAAACGGTTACTTCAGGTGAAATATTTCTGCGTGTGCCTTTCAGATTGGAGATGTTTTGGATTAGATAGAAGAATAACAACGACCTTGAGGGAACGGCGAGTATTTTCCTGTTGAATCATCTGTTGTGATCACTCAAAGCCTTCAAAAGGCCGAAGCCGACGTTCTTACAAAGCTGTTATTCTACTTGTGACTGAAACTGAATCCAGACATATTTTGTTTTTAATAATCGTATCTGGGAAAAGATATCACCATTATTATTTTTAAGAACATAACATAATTATTCATAAGTATGCAGTGTCATAACTAATCTCTGATGTTTATAACAAACCAAACCGTTTAAAAGTCGGTTGAAAATTGAAAAGTTATGGTTATTTAAAAAGTACATGTACCACTACCAACACAATGTTGTGGGTGTGATGTTACTAGATGTTACTGGTTACTGTTAAGGTAAAGAACTCCATCACCCAGCATTCCCTAGTCAGTGCTGAAGGACATGCGCAGAGCGGAGCGCGGCGGACCCCGGGTAGCATTACAGCGGACTGTGCTAGTTGACATTAAAAGTTCATGAAACGTATATCACGCCTCGTCTGCTTCTTATAAGATTAAGCAAGGTACAACATGGTGTCAGAGGTGGCTGTGAGCAGCTAATGAAGATAGATTTGCCACGGGAGAACGACGAAGAAAAAGAGAAGAAAAAAATCTCCGGTCGCGTGAGGTAACGTGCTAACAAGTCAACATGCTAAAAGAGTTTGCTACGTCGTGTGATGGCTACAAGTGGCAGTGGAAGTGAAGCGGGAGATGAAGGACAGATCGAACATGTAGAAGAGGATCTTGTGCCTGAAGCAGAGGACAACCGGCAACGCGAGAGGGCTGGGGAAGACCCTGTACCCCGACGTTCAGTAATGGAGAGGTTAAGTCCACCTACTTCCATGCAACTGACTGGTAATCTCGCTGATAATTGGAAGCGTTTTTAAGCAACGATTCAATATATATTTAGCAGCAAGTGGAGCAGGCGCTGATGATGAAAAACTGAAAGCTCACATTCTTTTGCATGTTATGGGAGAAGATGCTTTGGACATATATAATAGCTTTCAGTTGGATGAAGCTACTATGACCTTAGCAGAATTAATGATAAAGTTTGAAGAGTACTTCGTGCCTAGCCAGAACGTGACGTTTGAGAGGTACACGTTTTTCACGCATGACCAGAAGCAAGGAATACATTTCGATCAGTACTTAGCAGAGCTTCACACATTAAGCAAAACATGTGAATTTGGCACCACAAGCCACAAGCCAAAATCATGTCCTACGTATGGAAAATCCTGTAACAACTGTGGAAGGAACAATCACTATGCAAAATGTTGCAAGTCAGCTTTTAAGCAGAAGGTTCACGCAGTTGGTGAGGAAGAAGAGGATGATGGGGAGTTCCTTGTGGATGTGGTGCAGGCTCGGACTGATGAAAAAGAGGAATGGATTGTGCCAATCGAAGTGAACAAGACGGTAATACCATTCAAGCTAGATACAGGTGCCCATGTAAACCTGTTATCTTATGAGAGACCAGCAGATAAGAGCATTGCTACTGATTGTAGATAGGAGTGCACAACCAATCCTGGGACTCAAGGCATGTACAAAGCTCAACCTGGTCAAAAGAGTGTTTGTAGTGACATCATCAGAAACTGCCAATGATCATGACTCACTGATGGAGGAGTATAAAGACTGCTTCGAAGGACTTGGATGTCTACCCGGAGAACACAAAATATGCATAGACAAAAGTGTGTCTCCTGTTGTGCATCCTTGTAGGAAAGTTCCTTTTGCATTGCGTGGAAAACTGAAAAACTAAAGGTCATCAAGAAAATAGATGAGCCAACTGAATGGGTCAGCTCGCTGGTTGTAGTACAAAAGAAAACCGGTGTTCTGAGAACGTGCTTGGACCCAAGAGACTTAAACAAAGCGATCAAACGAGAGCACTTTAAGTTACCAACCAGAGAACAAATCATGGCACAGTTTGCTGGAGCTAAATGGTTACGCAAACTAGACGCTTCATCAGGTTTCTGGCAGCTGAGGCTGGACGAGGAGAGTTCGAAGCTGTGCACATTCAACACACCTAAGGGCAGGTACAGGTTTCTTCGTCTGCCGTATGGTATCCTGTCAGCGCCTGAAGTCTACCGTATTACTATACTACAAGGGAAGTGAATCTGAAGCTTAACAAAGACAAATGTGAGTTTGGAGTGAAAACACTTACCTTTGTGGGAGATGTTGTCAGTGAAGAGGGGGTGAAGCCCGACCCGAGAAAAACGTCAGCAATCAACAACATGGAAAGACCAAACAACAAAGACGAGGTCAGACGTTTTCTGGGAATGGTCACCTATCTGGCCAAATTTGTCCCTCAGCTGTTAGCGCAGTCAGCACCTCTCAGGAGTCTTCTTGAACAGAAGAATGAGTGGATCTGGTCCCATGAGCAGGACACAACTGAATCTACTGAGCTATCGGACAGTGGTCTGACAGCGACGTCTGCGTCAACGGCTGAGGCGACACCTTTCAGATTGCTGAAATCGCCGGCTGCTGAAAGACCGGCTAGACCTAGGAGACATGTTCAGCCATCTATGAGGTTGATTGAGAGTTGCTAGACTATCTTTAGTTTGTTTTGTTTGCAAGGAAGGAAAAGGCAATGTGTACCTTTTTAAGTTTGTCTTGTTCGAGTAAGTTTACTTAAAAAAAAAAATATTTAAAAAAAGGGAAAGTTGCAATTGTAGAAGTTGTTAACAAGTATAGTTTATATGTTACATTACACCTGCACTTAAAGATGGCTATGTTTTTACAGGGGTAAATATTATCTCATTGTAAGGGGAAAGATGTGATGTTACTAGATGTTACTGGTTAAGGTAAAGAACTCCATCGCCCAGCATTCCCTAGTCAGTGCTGAAGGACGAAGCGCGGCAGACCCCGGGTAGCATTACAGCGGACTGTGCTAGTTGACATTAAAAGTTCATGAAACGTATATCACGCCTCGTCTGCTTCTTATAAGATTAAGCAAGGTACAACAGTGGGTGAGCGGACTGACTGTAGCAAGATGGCCGCTATGCGCGGACGTTCGACTCGGCCGGCAAAGCGGCAGAGACATCTAGCCTTTATATATATATATATATATATATATTATATATATATATATATATTATATATATATATAATATACACACACACACACACACAGGCTAGATGAGCCTTTGTTTATATCTAAGACTTGACCAACATTATATCTTATCATCTGGCCCCCTTGACCTCTTGGGCCTAACCATTCGATTTAGGATGGAAGTGTGACAAATAAACCAGAATTAATGAACCAAACGTCTGTATTCTTACACTGTCACAATGGTTGAAAATGAACCCTAAACAACACATGCATTAAATATATCTGTAATAACAGTTAATTAACACAGTTAAACGTAATTAAATCTATGGTCTAAATA